ACCGGGTAAGACGGCGACCAGAGGTCCAGTTGGTACTGAAACCAACCGTCAGAGCCACGGCCGATTATGCGGTCATCCGAGCAAATCTCCGTCAGGTAACAAGCTAAACACATCATCAAATGGTTGACCACATCAATAGTGAGCGGTCCCTCTTTGGCAGTTGAGGATCGTTTCCAACGGGGCAAACTTTTTGGTCCTAGTTATTGTGGTTTTCGCCCATACTGATATTATGCAACATGAATGAATTGCCTGCAAACTTGTGCGAATAACCGGGACTTGCCCCAGCCACTTGATTGCGTTAGAGCTCTACTGAGGTACCTGCCTCGTCATCGGCGGCCCCTTGCACAATTGCTACAAACTGGGCAGGTGTGCGAGGTACATCCCGGTAGCTAAACTAGCTAAAGAACGTCGCCCGCATACACGTCATTGAACGCCGCCTGACTATCGACTATAACCTCGCCCTACTCTGTAGGAAGGGCACCGGGCATTTCAATCGGCATCTGAGACCGGCGGGCAACTTGCTCCACCTTCTCCTCTACCACCTTCTTCATCTCCTCTTTCGGTTCCAGCGCCTTCTTCATCTCCTCCTTCACTTTCTCCGCCATCCTCATCATTTCCGATTCGCTCGTCATTGCCTAAAATAGAACACAGTGGCAGGAACAGAAACGAAAGGGAAGGGTCCTATAGGGGTGGGTCCTATAGGTGTTGCGGGTGGTACGATACCACGTTTACTGTTCTGGTGGATAAAAATTAGCCCGGATTTTCGAGGGGTATGGGGGGATGCAAACGCGTGGCAGGTAACGGGGATATACCGGCGCCGGTGATACCGGTCCCCTGGGTCGATTTGCCCGACGGTAGCCCCTGACGAGCTCCACAAAAATTGGACGCAGTCTGTAGATCCGTTCCACCAGATCACAGCCCCTAGACCTTGTGATCTCATCTGACTGATTTGTGTCAACAGCTTATCTGTATCGTCCAACTCTGCGTCAACTAGGCCTTTTCGCAATATCGTGTTCCGTGTGTCAAGTGCTTTCTCTGCCGACATATGAACTCCTCTGGTTTCGGGCCGTCTTCCGCTCGGCTCGGTCGTCTTCCGCTCGGCTCGGTCGTCTTCCGCTCGGCTCGGTCGTCATCATGGCACGCTATATGATACGAACACCGACATCTAGTAACTGTCAGAGAATCCGAGCTGGGCCTCACGCGGCCAACGAGTCTGTTGGCATGGAAACGGAAATGGAAACACAACGCACCGTTCCGTTTGCTAGCCGGGTTGCGAGTATCGACGTCAGTGGCCACTCTCGGTGGGATGCCAAGAGGCGGTCTGCACGAAACCCAATAAGGCTACAAGAGAAGGACGTTCAACACTCACTACAGTACGATATCTCGTCTGCCAGCCGGTATTTCTTGACACACATCCACCGACACTTCGAACAATTTCTCACGAAACCNTCCACAGCT